ATCTGGCCCTTTAGAGAAGAAGAGGAAATGAACTATGAATGCAGAGAAAAAAGGGGAAGAAAAGGCAGGAGAGAAGAGAAGGAAACGCAGATCAAAATTTTTATTTGAGATGCTAACATTAGAAGAAGCATAGGACTTTTTCCCAAAAGGTTGGATTTCTCTAGGTTCACTAACAGATGTGGTTTTATCTTCTAGGAAAACAATAAACAGGAAGAAACGTGGAAGCTTTTTGCTGCTCTGTTGAATATGGGATTATAAAAAAAAAAAATTGCACCTGGACCATGTCTGTCCCTCTTTCAAATGAGTGACTTCTGAACCTGGACCTATTCACTACCTGAAGTAGCAACTTCTTCTTTCACTGTGCATCCTAGAGAGGAAAATGAATTTCACAAATTGCACCACTGAAGCCAATGTGGCTGCAAAGCCAAAAACAGTAACTGAAAAGATGCTTGTTACTCTGACCTTGGCCACAATCACAACCTTGACTATGCTGCTGAATTCTGCTGTAATCGCAGCAATATCCACAACCAAGAAGCTCCACCAGCCGGCAAATTATTTAATATGTTCACTAGCTGTGACTGATCTCCTTGTTGCTGTTCTCGTCATGCCCTTGAGCATCACTTACATAATGATAGATAAATGGACTTTGGGATACTTCATCTGTGAGATCTGGCTTAGCGTTGACATGACCTGTTGCACATGTTCAATCCTTCATCTGTGTGTCATTGCTCTGGACAGGTACTGGGCAATCACAGACGCTATTGAATATGCCAGGAAAAGAACGGCGAAAAGGGCTGGGCTGATGATAGTCACCGTGTGGACTATCTCCATTTTCATATCAATGCCCCCTTTGTTTTGGAGGAATCACCACAGCGTCAATATTCCCAGTGAGTGTCGCATTCAGCACGATCATGTCATCTACACTATTTATTCCACATTTGGGGCATTTTATATCCCCTTGACTTTGATCCTGATCCTGTACTACAGAATTTACCACGCTGCAAAGAGCCTTTACCAAAAGCGGGGTTCAAGCCGCCACCTCAGCAACAGGAGCACCGACAGCCAAAACTCCTTTGCCAGCTGCAAGCTTACACAGACGTTCTGTGTCTCGGACTTCTCCACATCTGACCCGACCACAGAGTTCGATAAAATCCATGCGTCTGTGAGGATCCCTCCTTTCGAGAATGACCTGGACCTGGCTGGTGACCGGCAGCAGATCTCCACGACACGGGAACGAAAGGCTGCTCGCATTCTGGGGCTGATTTTAGGTGCTTTCATTTTGTCCTGGTTGCCCTTTTTCATCAAGGAGCTGCTTGTGGGCCTCCACATTTGCACTGTCTCTCCAGAAGTAGCAGACTTCTTGACCTGGCTGGGATATGTCAACTCCCTTATCAACCCTTTGCTGTACACTAGCTTTAACGAAGATTTCAAGCTGGCCTTTAGAAAGCTCATCAGGTGTCGAGAACATACTTAAAAGTACTGGGAGATGATAATGATGACGTGACTCCTGGCCTTAAGAATAAGCAAAATAACTTGACTCTGTCACCATTTCTCTTGATAAAGGGGGGGATTTTTGTGTTTGCCTATTTGCTTGACTTATCTTTAGCCTGTAATTCATTCTGCCGTTTTTTACCTCTAGTGTTATTCATGGTAAAGAGTTTGAAATAAATTTATTCTACAAAGGAACAGATTTTTTAGCAATGAAACAATAACAAACAGAAACTATTCGATACTCATGTTTAAGACATTTTGTGTAATCAATGATTCAAGAAGCAAACGATATTCACTTTTATACTTTTTTCATTTAAGTATCAAATGTCTAAATTATCGTGCATTGTAGTAATATGAAGTCTTATAAACTGAACCCCATAAATACATATTCAAAAATTAATAAACACTTCATGGTCATGACAGCTAAACAGCAAATCTTTATGTGGTGTTCTGAGATAACTGTAACAGTCATTTAGAAGGAAAATAACCACCATTTCCAGCTTGGGCTAAGGCAGAATAAACCATTCCTCTGGTATTCCTCACCACGTGTGTTCCTGAAGAAGCAAAGTTCAGTTCATTCCATCTAAAAATGGATGCCATTTTGTACTCCAAAGTAATTATTTAAGTGGCTCTTTTTGTGTAAGACTCCTGGTTTATGTTCAAAGTATGGGGCAGACACCCGTGCAGTTTGTCTGGCTATTGAGAGGGCACAGCTAGCAAGCGTCACACTTGTAAGACCAGCTGCACATCTGACTGGTCACGTTTTTAATACCACTAACCGTATTTCTTCAGGGCTCAGGCCTTGTGCCTTGATCGATTCTGGGGCAGCATTATTCACTTTTGCCACATTTCTCCTGGACCTTGCGGTGCATAACCCCATGGATCAATTGATCTTACCCCGCTGACTTAAACAACTGGATATCTTCTCAGCAGGCCAGCAATATACAGAAATTCAGAAACATCATCTAAAACCAAATTATTTTCTGTTTGAACAGCAGCAAAAAAAAAAAAATAGGGAAAACATTTTTTTTTTAAATAGCAGCCTGCACATCTGCCTTACTGTCATCTTACAATTCGCAATGG